CATTTAAAATTAGAGGCAATCACTGCATTTTAATCATGATCCAAACAAAGATGCTTCATACATGAGCAGTTTTTAATCTAAATTACATTGTATAATTTCGAAATTTGAAGCAAAAACAGAATGGTTTGACTTCAGTTTTGTGATAAAAAATATAAAAAATATCTGCATGAAACAGAAACAGCAGAGCTGAATGAGACTCAGATTCACTCTCTTGGTGCTTAAGGGATACTCCACCCCAAAATGAACATTTTGTCATTAATCACTTACCCCCATGTCGTTCCAAATCCGTAAAAGCTTCGTTCGTCTTTGGAACACAATTTAAGATATTTTGGATATCTGGATATCAGAATATCCACTGAATGCAAGCAGCGTACGCTCTTCTGTGTCAGCCGCGACACAAGGATACGTTTTCTACGTGTATTTACGCTTTGATTTGAACGAAAACAGCACATCCCTGTGGCGCGGCTGACACAGAAGAGCGGACGGTTCTTGCGTTCAGCGGATGTTCTCCAAAATGGTGCTACGGTGATGCGGACAGACACAGAGGAGACGAATTGTTGAATAAAGTGGTTATTTTTGTTTTCTTCGCGTACAAAAAGTATTCTCGTCGTTTCATAAAATTCAGATTGAACCACTGATGGCAGATGGACTATTCTGACAATGTCTTTCATACTTTTCTGGACCTTGACAGTGTTATTTACTGTCAATGGGACAGTCACAAGCCTCCTGGTTTTCATCCAAAATATCTTAAAATGTGTTCCGAAGACGAACTAAGCTTTTACGGGTTTGGAAGGACATGGGGGTAAGTGATTAATGACAAAATTTTCATTTTGGGGTGGAGTATCCCTTTAATAAGCATTATACAGAGGCAAGAGGAAAAGAAAAAATACTATCGAAAGACATACATTCATATAAACTCTTGTGAGTGAGTGACGTGACATGTGGCCAAGTATGGTGACCCATACTCGGAATTAGTGCACATTTATCCCATCCAAAGTGCGCACACACACAGCAGTGAACACACACACACCATGAACACACACCCGGAGCAGTGGGCAGCCATTTTTTTGCTGCGGCACCCGGGGAGCAGTTGGGGGTTCGGTGCCTTGCTCAAGGGCACCTCAGTCGTGGTATTGAAGGTGGGAGAGAGCGCTGTACATTCACTCCCCCCACCTACAATCCCTGCCGGTACGAGACGCGAACCCGCAACCGTTGGGTTACGAGTCCGACTCTCTAACCATTAGGTCACGACTTCCTCTTACCCCTAACTGAATCGCGATTTGTTTAGCATCTCAACCGATTTGAATCGTCACATATTTAAATCGATTTTCAACCGGCTCGCAGTAAATAGTTACATCCCTAATTATTTATTATAGTAATTCATATTATTAATATTAATTGAACATTGGTGTATTTGATCATATATCTGGAATCTCATTAGCCCACAAAGATTTAATCATATATTATCAAAATATTACAGCTGCAATATTAAAAACTACTTCTAAACCAAGTGAAGTAATGGAAATGAACTTGGAGGTCACCGGCTGTAATCCCAGCTCTCAAATAAACCCCTGGTCTTAAGAGAAGCACTTACACTCTCTCCTCAGGAGAGAAGAGCACTGATCTGGAAACAGGTGATGTGGAGCGATTCCTCTCCATATCAACCTGAGGTCACCTTGTGTGCGAACTGCTCCGTGAGACACGCTGTCAGCACATCTTAGTCCGGACCCCCTCTGTTAGATTTCCTCTCCATCTGTGTGCCATTAATTATCTTTATTATACACACAGAGACACCTTCGCTAACACCCCACACACATACAATAAGAAAAAAAACGAAAGTTCCTCTAATCTTCCCCATTCCTCTCCGGGAGATAAAACGCTGATCACACATGCTGCCAGCTCAGACGATTAACATGTTTATGAGATAGTCTATCAGGCAAGGAGATAAGGAATAATACACTGAGCTGTGCCAAGGTCAGGAGAAGGCTTGTGAAACATGCGGCCCAGAGGAGGAGCGGGATGGAGAGGGACACCGGCGGCCGTACTGCAGATAAGAGGCAGATGACAGAGTTTTAAGGATTAGGCATATGATTTTTACAGTCAGCTTCACTTCAGAGAGATCCCATCGCCGTGGGGAAATAAGGCAGCCAGGCAAAGGAGTGGGCCAAGTCCACCTGCATGGCAGCCTCTCATCATCCACTCTGTTTCAAGAGCGTTGACTTTAAAGTGCTGGATGTGATGCCCAGGTGTTGTGACGGAGAGCCAGTGTACCGGATTACGCTTGGATATTGTCAGTCTAGTCTTCCAGATTCGGTGCGTTTGGCTTCATAACAAACATAAACTAGTGTACTTCAATTTCTTTATTTATCTACCATATTCATGTTCCCAAGAGCCAATTTTTGCTTCTTACATTTATTTAAAGGCGCTTTAGTAACTTTTTCCTTATTAAAAGGTTTTACACCAGTGTTGTTTTTGTTAACTGGAACTATTTAAAATCATTTTTGTTAAACTGAAATAAGTAAAATTTAAACATTTTATGAAAAATTCCTCAGTTGCCTGAGGAACTAACTGAAATACTAGTGAAGTACTAGAATTATTTAAATTGAAATAAAAATAAACTGGAGGTAAATAGGAACAAATATAAAAGCATGAATGAAAATGATGAGCACAAAACAAAATTACTAAAACTAAATAAAATCGAAGTGAAAACTAAAAAGAGTTAATTAAAAAAAAAAAATACTATAATAGTATAAATATAAATAATACTAACATAATACTGTTTTACACATAAGGAAATTAATACTTTCAAAAAATGTTTAAAACCACATACACTCAAAGACTCAAAATATCTTTTGTGTTCAACAGAAGGAAAATTTGCTTACGAAATAAATACATTGTGGCTGCATTTCTACAAAGGCATCGGTAACTGATGTCACTTCATGTTCAGTTTAAAATACATGTTCACCTGTGCCTCTTTATTTGACATGTTCAACGAGTAGCAGGTGTCCCAGCTGTCATTCTGGACCTGCAGCCAGGAGGTGATCACTTTGGCCCTGAGGATTTTCATCTGTCTTTGAATGAGGTACATAAACACTCAATTATATTCATCCTGCACCTTATCAGACCGAATTGTTAAATTACCTGCTGCCTACGTTAACACGCATAATACTTCAGCATGCTGGCTATTATAAAGCTTCGGATTAATCATTAAGGTTGTCATTACATAAACTTCATGATCACGTAAAACTTCATTTTAGCATTATAGACATACTTTTTTCTCTCACAGTTTGATGTCACACATTAACTTATACTGTACTGTTGTTAGAATGCTGTTAGTGAGACTAACAGCTTAAGTTTACAGCTTTATGTCATGGTGTATTTTTTTTTCTTTCACAGAGTGCCCGACAGTTAGCCTTTCTTTACACAGAACTTGGACTAGACCATCAAAAAAACTCGACAGAGACAAAAAGAAAGGTCAAATAACCTGACTGGCAAGTCTCATAGACGACGAGACTAAATTATATGTGTATGTGTGAGTGAAAAACAACCAGACAAAAAGTTTTTCTTATTTTTCCTAATAAACCAAACATTTATTTTGTTACATAGATGTTAGTTATTTTCTTTTGAATAAAAGTGTGTCTGACAAAAACAGCTTGCATTGCATTGTGTTCACACTGAACACAAACAGTACACACTCTCTCGCCAATCAGAAGACACTTGATGTTCAGTCTACAGTAATATGGAGTGAGATTTTGGACCAATGAGATTTCAAAGTGGGCAGGACTAACCAGCATGACACCACTGAAATAAAACATGGAATAGATAGCCTTTATCGTTTGTCACTGTGTCGGTCAAGCTAGGACACATCTTCTAGAAAGTATCTTCAACACTTGTACAGAATATCTAGTGCAGGCAAGTAGCAGGCTTTCTCAGAAACATAGCACTCAGATGCATGGTTCGGGTGAAAGCGCTGATTGGTGGAATATTCCAGGAGCAGTCCTTGCCCTTGAGATGTCAGAATTCTGGATTTAGAGAAAGTCTTTTGACTTATTGGCAGTGTACTTAAATGCACAGTAAGAGTATCTGGCAACTCACTAACTGAAGACAAGTCTGTTGTAGTATCCTTGCCGAAGTTTAGAACCACCAGGAAGGCTTTGTTGAGTCCATCCAGCTCACGCAAATAAGCAAATACATTGACATCGCTCCAGATGAAGCAGAACCAGCCTCGGGACAGGGCCAACTCAGCCCCTTTGAGCAAAGTCAGAGCACGATACTGTGAAATGGTGGAGTCTGGATCAGCCTGCTGAAGCTGGAGAGAAAAATATGACCTGGGATTAGAGGTTTTCCTACTTTAGCATACTTGTCAGCAGTCTGAATCAATGTACCTCCACATTGACAGTGCTGTAGTCTGGAGCGATGTCTAGCCATGTGCCATTTTCACTGTCACTAAAACCAGCATTGAACTGATCGTTCCAATGCATTGGTGTTCGCTGCGGGTCCCGACTGTTGCTCTAGATTTTAAAAGAAAAAATATATATTTTATTTAAAAAAATAATGCATTAAGTTGATCATTTCTAAAAGCTTTTTTAAAATTTTAATAATATTTCACAATATACAGTATAGAAAATAATCACCCCCCCCCTTTAAAATTATCACATTTTGTTGCTTTGCAGCCTGAAATGAAGACGGGCACAGTTTTTGTTTTATCCAGCTTTATTTACTCAGTGCAACTTATAGCATCCAAGTGAAAGATATAACATCAACATGCCAGAAAAAAATTAATATAAAACAGAATCACTGAGTTGGGAAAAGAATCACCCTCCTCATAAAATGACTTGTAGACTAAATCAGACGGAGCTAATAAGGCTTTATCAATGCCTAGAAGCACAGTGAAGTCTATTATTAAGGCGTGGAGGGTATTTGGTAAAACACAGACCATCCCTGGATCAGAACGTCACTCCAAACTGGATGAAAAAGGCAGGAGGAAACTGGTCAGAGAGGCGAACAAGAGGCCTTCAACAACAATGAAGCAGCTGCAGGAATTTATGACAAAGAGTGTATACTAAGTAACTCAACAGATTGACGCACCAAAATAAAAAGATCAAGTAACGCAAGAGTGCGGTGCAAACGACGTTGTTAAACTACATTTATTTGTTCAAATAATTTTATCAACGTCTTTTAAAAACATTTAAAAATCTTACCAACCAAAGTTTTATTATTAAATATTATTAGTGCTGTCAAACGATTAATCGCGATTAATCATCCAAAATAAAAGTTTTTGTTTACATAATGTGTGTATAATGTGTATATTTATTTCAAGCCTTTTGGAAAATCTATTTGTGGCAGTCAGTGTTGATATTGTGGCGGGCCGCTACAAATAAATCAATGTATGGGAAACTCTGGTGAATCCCTGGTGAATGTCCTTGCACGGCCTAGTCAGAGCCCAGACTTTGAAAATCTGTGGAATGACTTGAAGTCTGCAGTCCACAAACACTCACCATCAAATTGAACTGAACTTGAGCAGTTCTGCAAAGAAGAGTGAGCAAATATTGCAGTCTACATGTGCAAAGTTAGTAGACTAAAGGCTGTAATTAAAGCTAAAGGTGATTCAACAAAATACTGACACAAGGGGGTGATCCTTTTTCCAACACAGTGATTCTGTTTTTTTTTTTCTGTTCATTTATTATATGTTGGTGTTCTATCTTTCACTTGGAAGTTGCACTGAGTAAATACAGCTGGATAAAACAAAAACTGTCCATCTTCATTTCAGGCTGCAAAGAAACAAAATGTGATTATTTTAAAAGGGTGTGATACTTTTCTATACCCACTGTATATGACCACCATGGCTACATTTAATTGTTCAAATAATTTTATTTATCAAATAAATGTAGCCTTGGTGATCATAAGTGACGTCTTTCAAAAACCTTTAAAAATCTTACCAACCAAAGTTTTATTATTAAATATATATTTTAAAATATAGTATATTTATTTTATACATCAAACATAGTATAACTGTATAAAAGTTCTACATTTTAATGTGTTTAATGTAACTATTACTTAAAAAAAAAAAAAAAAAGTATTTTTCACTTACTGGATCATGCTGTCCAAAAGGATCCTGAATTACAGATACATTTACGTTCACCATGCCAATCTCTTCTCCATAGTATGTTGTGGGAGTTCCAGGCAGTGTTAACAACAACATGTTTATAGCACGTATATATTCCTTTGTGTTTATTTATATATACATAATAAATATACACAGTACACATACATATATTATGTAAACAAAAACTTCTATTTTGGATGCGATTAATCGTTTGACAGCACTAAATATTATATAATATATATTTACAGTATATTTATTTTATATATTAAACATAATATAACTGTATAAAAATGCTACATTTTTATGTGTTAAATGTAACTATTACTTTTTTTTTTTTTAAAGCCCTTCTCACTTACTGGATCATGCTGTCCAAAAGGATCCTGAATTACAGATACATTTACGTTCACCATGCCAATCTCTTCTCCATAGTATGTTGTGGGAGTTCCAGGCAGTGTTAACAACAACATGTTTATAGCACGTATATATTCCTTACCAGCACTTGAGGTTATACGGGGCTTGTCATGGTTTCCCACCTATAGAAGTACACAAACATATTTTGTGCATGTGACAAACTCAACAAACTGTATTGTAAAGTTTATATATAAATCTGAAGTGTGCCATTTTTTAAAATCAGTTTGACCAGCCAAAGGCAAACAAACCATTTAGCAATGCTAGTGTTTCAGGTTTAAATATTTCAAGTGATCTGATTCTTAATGAACTGACAGACATCTGGTCACTCACCACCCAGTTTGGCCATTTTCCCTTCGGCATGTTTGACATCCATAAATGAACCAAGCGTTTGGCTTGATTTCCTGACAGATCATCAGGAAGGTACAGCAGATAGAAGTTAAAGGGGAAGTCGCTTTCAGTAACATAGCTTGTGCCATAGTACCTCATGGTTTTTTCTATTTCTTCATAATCATAACACTCAGTCACCATGAACCTGATTGGTAAGAGAAAAAAACACAAGAGCCATTTACAAGAGAGAGGAAAAAATAGTATATTGATGAAGAAGAGGAAGAACTGAGGATACCTGTAGTGGCCAGGCTCTCTGCTGTAGGCGTCCAGCTCTATCCTCCATTGTGTCAGGATCTCATGCAAGCCCTGTTGTGTGTAGGTGTAGTCATGGTACAGCTCAAACTCTGTGTCCACAGTCGACTGAAGGACATCAAAAGAAGAAATAAAGAAAATAACACTGTTGTTAGTCACACTGCACACTTGAAAATGTGTAATCTTACTAAATAAAAATGAAAATAGTTTATTACTAAATATGGTATACACTTTTTTTTTTAATGAAATTAATATTTTTTAAGCAAGGACACGTTAAATTGATCAAAAGTGTCAGTAAAGCATTTATAATGTTAAAAAATTGTTTAGAATAAATGCTGTTATTTTTAACATTCTAATTATTAAAGTATCCTGAAAAATTTCCATAATATTAAGAAGCACAACTGTTTTCAATGGAAGTCAATGGGGTAAGGCAAGGCATTGTACATTTAGAAAATAAATGAATAAGGCTGATGATACATGGGGCAACTTTTTTTGAGCGATGTTGCTTCGGACATTTCACATTGAGAATGGATAACAAATGTCTATCTGGATACTTTAGATAGGTCGTGGTCACTGTCATCTGGTTGCCCGTTGGCGGCAACATTGCTCAAAAAGTTGCCCCGTGTATCATCAGCCTAAAATCTGTCTGTGCTGAATAAAAATCCAAGTGAAAAAAAATTTTGTTTTAAATGTATTATGCTGATAATGCATAACCAGAATGCCATCTACCTAGACCAGCAGTCCTTCCACTAAAGAAACACTAAAGAAAACTTTTACTGCTCAAAAACAGATATCCGTGTATGAAATAATGCTTTTACAGAAATACAAACACATTTCTGCGTTTATACCTTCTGAAATGTCTTGCCTTGAAAATTATTTCCTATGGTAATCAACATGTCACAGATGATCAGTTTTAACTTGCGTTGAACCCGGAACATTCCTCTAAGTTAATTCTAACAAGTCCATGAGGAGCAGAAAGACAAATCACTGAAGAAAAGGGCCAAGACCATTGAGTCATTTCCCTAGATCTTCAATGGCTTTGAAATCATCTGGAATTAGGATAATGGGAATGACTTGCCAGTAAATCCATAGAAATATGCACTAGTAATCCTTAAATGACATTGTGAGAACAAAGAACAGTAATATGACTCCTCCTGAATGAATTCGAAGAACATTTTTGACTCTGGCAGATGAAGTGCTACAACAAATAAGTGTGTAAACTGAATGTTTTCATTTTCAAGTGGTTATATAGCATTGTTGGGCTTACTGGATCTTGGTCAGGGTCGACCTGGGGTTCATTTCTCAAATGTGTGGCCTCAAGCATGTGTTTCACAGCGTCCATGCGGAACCCATCCACCCCCTTCTTCAGCCAGAAATGGATTATGTCCTATTAG